CTTGATTACCACCAGCTCCCTGGAGCTTGGACAGCCGCACACTTGTGGCAGAGCTGCTGTGGCAGACTCTGCTCTGGATTCCTGCTCTGGCCCCTGCAGAGGTGGAAGTCTGTGAGATCATTGGGCCTGAGAATGGAAGGCAAGCGACCAAAGATGCTGGCCTTCTTACTTACTTCCGCCTCCTCCAGCTGCTTGAGAACAGCCAACCAGAGAAGTACCAACCCTACTGAAATTGTTGGGAAACAGTCTGTATTTGGAATTGCTCAGTTTCACATGTGCGTTAGAATAACCCAACAGGTTATCAACCAGCCCTGGACCTGACTGATGAGGACCCCACAGAGTGAGCGCTCATTTAACAGAAGAGTACAGCCCATTTGCTAATAGACATATTGTGGTTGGAACTTCGGATGAATACTTGCATTTATATTTTCTCGTTCTATTAAAAATGTCCAAACAACTTTGGTGTGTGGGAAGGAGGGACACATTAGTGCTGAGTAATGAAGAAAATTAGTAACGCTAAGCCAGTTGAGTTTGCTCAACACATTCCTTTCTCTGTGTTGCAGAAGACACTACTGTGGAATGACACGAAGAATGAGTAGTTATAGGCTTTTCTCCCGGATGGACAGGGTAGCGTGAGGGGATGAAGAATCTCTATCTTTCCATCTGGAAGGGCCCAGGCTGAGCTTTAGCGGGAGTACGGAGCTACATGTGGCCTTAGCATGTCTGATGTTGGGGCTTTCATGAACCGTCACCCTCAGCCTCCTCCCGGTGCTCTACGTAGTGACCCGAAGGCCAGGTTGGAAAGCCACCCTAGCAAACCTGGGTGAAGGAAGACTTCAGTGGTAGGGAGTGCAGGGTGTTGTTTACCTTTCTGTGTGCAAAAGTCATGGGTTCACAGTCACGCCCACCAGACCAGATTTCTACTAAGTCCTCAAAGAAGCACAAAGCAGGGGTAGAGAGTACCGTTCAGATCTCACTAGGGCACCAACTGCGCAGGTTGCTTACTTAAACTCTCTGCCTCATCAGTCAAAGCATTTAGAATCTCGCACATAATCTAGTCTTAGTTAAGTGTTGGCGTAAGTAACTGCACATGGGCATTGGCGTGTTGGAAGCTCTGTTGCTGATCTCAATCTATGAGAGCCCAAGGCACCTAGCTGGTGTTCAGGAGGATGTGATCCTGACTCATGTCAACCCTTGGCCCTTAGGTCTTGGTGGCCCACTTGGCCCACTCTGGACACGATTCTTCTATCCTTGCAGCAGTCAACAGGTACAGCAGTCCCCCCCTTATCCACGGGGGATACGTTCCGAGACCCCCCAGTGGATGCCTGAAACCAGGGATAGTAGCGACCCCATATATGCTGTTTTTTTTCTATATATACATACCTATGATAAAGTTTAATTTATAAATTAGGTATAGTAAGAGATCAGCAACAGTAACTAATGATAAAATAGAACAATTATAACAATACACTGTAATAAAAGTTATGTGAATGTGGTCTCTTTGGCATATCCTAATTGCCAGCATCACTACTCTTGCGATTTGGGGCCATTACTAAGTAAAATAAGGGTTACTTGAACACAAGCACTTCAAGACTGCAATACAGTCAATCTGATAACCGAGATGGCTGCTAAGTGACTAAGTGACTAATGGGCGGGCAGTATATACAGCATGGATGTGCTGGACAAAGGGATGGTTCACGTCCCGGGCTAGACAGAGCGAGACAGATTTCATCACGCTACTCAGAACAGCATGCAATTTAAAACTTATGAATTGTTCTTTTTTGGAATTATCCATTTAATATTTTTGGACTGTGGTTGAATGCAGGTAACTGCAATTGCAGAAAGCGAAACCGAGGATAAGGGGGAACTACTGCATATTGGTTAGGCTTCTCCAGAGAAACAGAACCAATAGGAGATACAGATTATATACATATATATATGGATCCCTGGTGGTGCAGTGGTTAGCTCAGCTGCTAACCAAAATGTTGGTAGTTCAAATCCACCAGCCGCTCCTTGGAGACCCTGTGGGACAGTTCTACTCTGTCCTATAGGGTCACTGTGAGTCGGAATCCACTCGACAGCAACGGGTTTGACAGTGACCCCACGTGACAGAGTAGAACTTCCCCCTGGGGTTTTCTAGGCTGTAATCTTTACAGGAGCAGATCACCAGGTCTTTCTTCGATAGAGCCATTGAATGGGCTTGAACTGCAAACCTTCTGGTTAGCAGCTGAGTGCTTAACCGTTGTGCTATCAGGGCTCTTATACTGAGAGACAGAGAGACTGATTCATTTTAAGGAATTGGCTCACGAGATTGTGGGAGCTGTTAAGCCCAAAATTGGTAGATCAGGCAGCAGGCTGGAAACTGGCAAACCTGAGTCGAAAATCCATAGGCCAAACAGACTGGAAACTCCGGCAGGATGTCTGTGTTACAGTCTTGAGGCAGGATCCTTCTCTATTCAGGAAACCTATTTTTGCTCTTAAGACCTTCATCTGATTGGATGAGACCCATCCAATTTGGGGGATAGGCTGTTTAATATCATAATCTAAAAAATTATGGAGGGTAATGTGCTTTACTTAAGGTCACCTGATTGTAAATGTTAATCACTTTTAAATCCCTTCACAGCAACACCTAGACTAGTATTTGATCAAACAACTGGACACCCTAGCCTAGCCAAGTTGACCCATAAAATTAACCATCATACCAGAGGCCTGGGTCTGTGGTGTCTGATGAGAAACAGGTCCCCTTGAGAGAGCAGAGGTGCATCTGTTTGTGTTGTTAGCATCTCTGTAGACAGGCCACATGTGTAGTTCTTCAGCCACCCTTAGAGCAAGGTCTGTCATGTTTTAGCAGACCTGTGTATTTTAGCACAGAAGTCTGAAGAGGTTCCAAATCCAAGTTCTATGCTGGTAAAACTTAACCCAAGAAGATGGTCCCCAGTAAAGATACCAGCCAATGAACCAGTTGCTGTTGAGTCAGTTCCAACTTATGGCAACCCCATGTGTGTCTGGGAGAACTACGTTCCATAGAGTTTTCGGTAGCTGGTTTTACAGAAGTAAATAACCAGGCTTCTCTTCCAAGGCGCCGCTGGGTAGATTCGAACCACCCACGTTTCAGTTAGTAGCCCAGCGCTTAACCGTTTGAGCCACTGAGGGACTCCTTCAGTCAAGATTGTTCATATTTATCGTGTTAATTATTTACCAGGCACTATTCCGAGGGCTTGCCAAGTAGTAACTCATTTAATCTTTACAACATTCCAATAAGATAGTTAATAATTTTATCCCATCTTGTAGATGAGGAAACTGAGGCTCAGAAGAGTTAAGAAACCTGCCCGAGGTCATAGAAATGTGGCAAAGCTGGTATTTGAACGTTGGGATGTTGCTTCAGTCTGTGTTCTTAACCACTAGCTGCAAGATACAGAGACTCCAGCAGGTGCAGCCCTGAAGCACAGAATTGCAGACTGCATCTCAGTGAAGTCTCAGCCTTGACTGAGGGGCTGCCATGTGCTAAACCCTTGGGCTCACAGTCTAAAAAAGGAGGCAAGCAGGCAAATGATCAGCAGCACCTGGCGATCAGTGCCCTCCCGAAAGTGTAATTAAAGTGTGGAGACAGCACAGAAGAGAGAATGAGGAACTCAGTGAAGAGGGAGAAAATGCTGCTGGAGTGGATGAACTTCTGAGCTAGTTTTTGCAGAATGAATAAGAGTTCACCAAATGCACTCAGGTAGGCATAACAGGCAGGAGCAATAGTGTGCAAAGGACAGAGGTATGAGACCAAAAACCAAAACCCGTTGCCGTCAAGTCGATTCCAATTCATAGTGACCCTATAGGACAGAGTAGTGCCCCATATGGTTTCCAAGGAGCTGCTGGTGGATTCGAACTGCTAACCTTTCGGTTAGTCGCTGAGTTCTTAACCACTGTGCCATGAGGGTTCCAAGGTATGAGACAACAGGGAATTTTTTTAAGGAGGAAGTAATGCAAGTCCTTTAGCATGGACGGATGATGCAGTGCAAGGGGGGGAAATCGGGAGCGTTGAAACTGGAGAGGCCGAAAGAGCCTGGTTTTCCATGCCGGGAAACCTGACTATCCCTGGGGGTGTAGGCAATTTAATATCATAATCTAAAAACAAGATCCACAATCTCAAACCTTGATGCATTCAGTAGTATTTTTTTTCCCTCTAGTTTTATTATTACTATTATGGACGGAAAAGACAACAAAAGTAAATAAACTCCATATATGATATATATTGAGACTGTGCTAAAAAGAATGTTGTTTTCTAATCCCTTCCACACACTTATTTCTGTTTTTTCATCAGCAGTTCCCTTTGGGGAATTGGTTATTCTCAGATGCCAAGATAAGTACTTTTGAGGCTTTTCTTTTTTTTAATGTTTTTTTAAGTGCCCTTTGCATAAGAACACTGTGTAGAACTTTTGCCAGGAGTATCTTTATAGCAGAAATGGAGGCTAAGACTGATTATCTAATTGCTTCCTTAATGTATTCTCCGAACCTAACACGCTGCTAGCATATGAAAAACCTAATGATCATAATGGCATAAGTGTCTTTCTTGCTCACCAGCCTCTGGCACAGTTGTGCTGGTGTTGTTTACTACAGAATAGAAATCGATGGTTTAAATGTGGTGTGACTGTGAGCCAGCCCTGGCCACCCCGGACTCTCAGCTCTGTCTGCTCCAGCCGGCCCATGCTGCCCATAGCAGCTTCTCTCCAGAGCGGAGCTCATGTGTACCCATCAGAGAGCCTCGTTGAGGTCTCGTGTGTGAATATTTGGATGAGGGGAGACAGCACTTCCCCTCCATGGAGGAACCTGGTTGCATTTTTCAAGACGAGCAGAACACCATCTGGCAGAGAAGGTAGCGGGAGTGTGCAAACACTGCTGTGAAGTCAATGAATACTTAATGGCTATGGAATTTTTTTTTTTTTTAATTTGAACCTTTGTATTTAGTTTGTTTGTTTGTTTGTTCTTTTTTGTTTTTTTTTGTTTTTTAGAATAGTCCTTATCAGTGGCAGAAGATCCTTCTGTAGTATCTTTTCAGTGCTGCCGTACCGTGACAGTACCCAGGCCGGGTATGTATATACATGCATGCTTTGTCGTTCTCTGGGTGAACTGATGTACGTGATATGGCCGCCCTCTCTACTTTCAAGAACGCGCCTTGCTTTGACACTGCAAATTTAGTGTCTGTAAATTTGAAAGAAAAGGTTCCACTTTCTTTTCAGCCAGAAAGCTTTCTTGTTGTTAGAGCGTGCGTGTCTCCCCTCCGTAGCGCCCGCTGTTTCTGAATGTGCATTTTATCACCCCTTCCCATACTGTGAAGCAAGAGCAATATGACTTCACCGTCTCCCTCAGGACCACGTCAACTTTTGGAGAAAGGTAGGTCAGGAAAGGAATCAGACCAAGCCGTGTGGCCACCCTATCTCCTTGCATCTTGGGCTTGGGGTCAGGAACCTAGAGCTGCCACCACTGGGAAATGTTAAAGCAAAGTGGTACCAGAAACACGTGGGTGATTAGCTATAGACCAGAGGGCTTCTCACCACTTTGCAACAAACCCCTCATTTCATTCCAAAAAAAGTAGGTAAGTGAGGGCCTATGCTTGCAAAGCCTCCTCTCCTCATCACCATCCCTGAACACTGTGCCCGTTTCCTCATCTGAGTCTTGGCTCACTTGCCCTCTTCATCTTTTCCCTGCATCCAGTGCTTGTCCTCAGGGGCACTGTTGGTACCTAAACCAGTTGCGTCAAGTCATCTCCGAATCATGGCAACCCCATGTGTGTCAGAGTAGAACTGTGCTCCACAGGGTTTTCAGTGGCTGGTTTTTTTTGGAAGTAGATCACCAGGCCTTTCTTCTGAGGCAGCTCTGAGTAGACTATAACCGCCAACCTTTTGGTTAGCAGCCAAGCTTGTTAACTGTTTGCACCACCCAGGACAATTGACTGTGTGGGACTGTCAGGAGCATTGTAGGGTGCTAGCTCTGGCCTCTGCTCACTAAATACTGAATTGCCCTCTAGTCATTGTGGCAACCAAGACACTACCCACATACTGCCATCGCCCCTTCAGAGGACAATGGGGCCCCGGTCCTGATTGACAATTTATTCATCCTTCACCATCTTCCATGAGTTGTACCCCTGTGGTTCCTACTCATCACCATCTTCCCTTTCCCCTATAGACCTGTCAGACTTTTGGCCTGTTTAGTTCATCATGGTTCTTACTTATATTCTACACCATAAGATCCATGGGGCAGAAAGTAGTACATCGTTATTCATGGAATCCTGACCCAGTCATTTATTCGATGTGGGCATTAAAGACCAATAATAATCTTACTATTTACTGAGCACCTTTTTATTATAGCCATCCTTACAACAGCCTTGCAGAGTAGATGTTCTAGAAAAAATAGCAACAAATCCTGCAGCTCAGAGGTTTAAGGACCAGCTTGCGGTGGCTAGCTGGGAGACTTTCTTCACCTTATCAACTTGCCGTGGTCCCGGGTTTGGCTGTCCATGAGGAGTGGTCTTGTTTCCTGGGGAAACTAGCTGGTACCAGCTCACAGACCTGGTATATGACCCCATTTGGCCAGTTAATTAATCTAATTACAAATAATGATCCCAGGGCTGAGAATATTTGTTTGTGAACAGCCCATAAGCACACCTTCAGCAGGATCTGAGTCATCAGTAGAAGGCTGCTTAACTAGAGCTGGAATCAGAACAAGTGGAATTGGAAAAGTGAATGTGTAAAGGCGCCAGGCAGAAATAGGCTGATGAAAAAGGAAAGGGTACTTCTGAATTCATTCTGTGAATTCAGCATAACCCTGAGACCAAAACCAGGCAAAGACACCACAAAAAAAGAAAATTACAGACCAATATCTCTCATGAATATAGATGCAAAAATTCTCAACAAAATTCTAGCCAATAGAATCCAGCATCATACCAAAAAAATAAGACACCACGACCAAGTGGGATTCATACCAGATATGCAAGGATAGTTCAGCATTAGAAAATGAATCAACGTAATCCAACACATAAATAAAATAATCACATGATCATCCCAATCGACGCAGAAAAGGCATTCGACAAAGTCCAACACCCATTCCTGATAAAAACTCTCAATAAAATAGGTATAGAAGGGTAACTCCTCAACATAATAAAGGGCATCTATACAAAACCAACAGCCAACATCTTTCTTAATGGAGAGAGGCTGAAAACATTCCCTTTGAGAACAGGAACAAGACAAGGATGCCCTTTATCACCACTCCTATTTAACATTGTGCTGGAAGTCCTAGCTAGAGCAATAAGGCAAGAAAAAGAAATAAAGGGCATCCAAATTGGTAACAAAGAAGAAAAACTGTCCATATTTTCAGATGATATGATACTATACATAGAAAACTCAAAAGACTCCAGGAGAAAACTACTAGAACTAATAGAAGGATTCAGCAGAGTAGCAGGATACAAGATAAACATACAAAAATCAGTTGAATTCCTATACACCACTAAAGAGAACAACGAAAAGGAAATCAAGAAAGCAATACCATTTATAATAGGTCCCTAAAAAAATAAAATACTTAGGAATAAATCTAACCAGGGATGTAAAAGACCTATACAAAGAAAACTCCAATACACTACTGCAAGAAACCAAAAGAGACCTACATAAATGGAAAAACATACCATGCTCATGGATAGGTAGACTTAACATTGTGAAAATGTCAATTCTACCCAAAGCAATCTACAAATACAATGTAATCCTGATCCATATAACAACAGCATTCTTTAATGAGATGGAAAAACTAATCATTAACTCTATATGGAAAGGGAAGAGGCCCCGGATAAGTAAAGCACTATTGAAGAAGAAGAATAAAGTAGGAGGACTCACACTACCTGATCTCAGAACCTACTATACAGCTACAGTAGTCAAAACAGCCTGGTACTGGTACAATGACAGACACATTGACCAGTGGAACAGAATTGAGAACCCAGATGTAAATCCATCCACCTGTTGTCACCTGATCTTTGACAAAGACCCAAAGTCCATCAAATGGGGAAAAGACAGTCTTTTTAACAAATGGTGCTGGCAAAACTGGATGTCCATCTGCAAAACAATGAAAGAGGACCCATACCTCACACCATACACAAAAACTAATTCAAAATGGATCAGAGACCTAAATATAAAACCAAAATCTGTAAAGAGCATAGAAGAAAAAATAGGGTCAACGCTAGAGGCGTTAATACACGGCATTAACAGGATACAAATCATAACTAACAATACATGAACACCAGAAGATGAGCTAGATAACTGGGATCTTCTAAAAATCAAACACCTATGCTCTTCAAAAGACTTCACCAAAAGAGTCAAAAGAGAACCTACAGACTGGGAACAAAGTTTTGGCTATGCCATATCAGACAAAAATCTCTAAAATCTACAGGAAAATCCAACATCTCTACAACAAAAAGACAAATAATCCAATTAAAAAATGCGCAAAGGATATGAACAGACACTTCACCAAAGAAGACATTCAGGCAGCTAACAGACACATGAGGAAATGCTCGCAATCACTAGCCGTTAGAAAAATGCAAATCAGACCTACAGTGAGATACCATCTCACCCCTACATTACTAGCACAAATCAAAAAACAGAAAATAACAAATGTTGGAGAGGCTGTGGAGAGATTGGAACTCATGCACTGCTGCTGGGAATGCAAAATGGTACAACCATTTTGGAAAACAATATGGTTCTTCCTTAAAAAGCTGCAAATAAAAATACCATATGATCTAGCAATCCCACTCCTAGGAATATATCCTGGAGAAATGAGAGCTATCACACAAGTAGACATAAGCACACCCATGTTCATTGCAGCATTGTTCACAATAGCAAAAAGATGGAAACAAGCTAGGTGCCCATCAGCAGATGAATGGATAAACAAACTATGGTACATACACACAATGGAATACTACGCAACAATAAAGAACAATGATGAATCTGCGAAGCATCTCACAATATGGATGAATCCGGAGGGCAGTATGCTGAGTGAAATAAGTCAGTCACAAAAAGACAAATATTATATGAGACCACTACTATAAAAACTCATGAAAAGATTTACACACAAAAAGAAACAATCTTTGATGGTTATGAGGGAGGGGAGGGGAGGGGTGGGGATGGAAAAACACTAAACAGATAATAGATAAGTGGTAACTTTGGTGAAGGGCAAGACAGTACACAATACTGGGGAAGCCAGCACAACTTTTCCAAGGCAAGGTCATGGAAGCTCCATAGACACATCCAAACTCTCTGAGGGACCAAATTACTGGACAGAGGGCTGTGGGGACCATGGTCTCAGGGGACATCTAGCTCAACTGGCATAACATGGTTTATAAAGAAAATGTTCTACATCCTACTTTGGTGAGTAGTGTCTGGGGTCTTAAAAGCTTGTGAGTGGCCGTCTGAGATACTGCACTAGTCTCACCCCATCTGGACCAAGGGAAAGTGAAGAAAACCAGAAACACAAGGGAAAGATTAGTCCAAAGGACTAATGGACCACAAGTACCACAACCTCCACCAGACTGAGTCCAGCACAACTAGATGGTGCCCAGCTACCACCACTGACTGCTCTGACAGGGATCACAATAGAGGGTCCTGGACAAGGCTGGAGAAAAATGTAGAACAAAATTCTAACTCACAAAAAAAAAAAAAAAAAAAAGACCAGACTTACTGGTCTGACAGAGACTGGAGAAACTGGCTCCCAGATATCATTTTAGCTCAGTAATGAAGTCACTCCTGAGGTTCACCCTTCAGCCAAAGATTAGACAGACCCATAAAACAAAACAAGACTAAATGGACACACCACCAGCCCAGGGGTAAGGACAAGAAGGCAGGAGGGGACAGGAAAGCTCGTAATGGGGAACCTAAGGTCGAGAAGGGGAGAGTGCCATGGGATTGGCAACCAGTGTCACAAAACAATATGTATGTTAATTGTTCAATGAGAAGCTACTTTGCTCTGTAACCCTTCATCTAAAGCACAATAAAAAAATTAAAAAAATAAATAAATGCAAATCCAGAAAAAAAAAGAATAGGCTGGTGCATTA